CTCTGCTTTAATGTTCATTCAGTACTTTTCTATTAGCTTAATTTTCCATTTGACTAAAGCTCTGCAGGTGCATGCTTATCTCATAGTTGATGGTGTAAACACCTTAGAAAGAAGCAACAGGTTCTTTCTGGAGAAGACTTGGGACTTGTGTTAGATCTGCGTGCTGTAGCTGATGCTGAGCTCTCCCTGGGGCTCTTCCTTTCTGACAATGAGCGTTGAATTGATACAGAAGCAGTTCTGTACCAAGCAAGTCCCAATGGAGTTATTAACCCTGTTGGTGTTCCCCTCACCTCGTGTTTCCTGTCGCTGAAACAGGAAACACCGACGGGTACGTGAGAGATCCAGATCCAGTTCGTCATCTTCGCGGTCCTCTCATTCGGTCAAAGCGGAGGAATATCCTGAGGAGACTGAGGAGAGGGAGGAAAGCACCACAGGCTTTGACAAGTCCCGGCTTGGGACTAAGGAGTTCACTGGTCCGAATGAGAGAGGAAGAGCTAGAGGGACCTTTGTAAGTGTTCTCCACCCCACCCCAAGTGCCAGTTCCCAGAGTGGCCAAAAAGGGGCCACTGTGTATTGCACTCTCACAGTTAAAGCACACTGTGAAGGAGAGACCCCCCAGAGACGTCGACTGGTTGTGGATGCTGAGCCGAAATACGATTGCTCAGTGTGTGGAGCACAGGCCGGGGTGCAGAGAATGTAGTCTGGGCAGTTGAGCTCGAGATGGAGCAGAATCAAGCCTGGAAGCTTTTGTGCACGAGGAGCTGCTGAGCAACCCCGAAGGGCAGCGTGATGTGCATCCGTCAGTTGGGGTTAGGCTACCAGAGCGAGAGCCCTGGTCGTAACCGCGCTCGCTGTTGGCAGTTCCCAGGCCGCGGTTACGTGGCTGTCTCGTGTGCGTATTGCATTTGTCAGATGCTCTCTCTTGGGTGCTTGGGAAGTGCCTCTACATGATCTTAAAACAGCTTTATAGAAACTGTGATGCGCTGTGTGATCGGAGGAGCCTAAAGTGTGCTGAGCTCTTGTTTTAATGCTAGGTTAAAGGTGTTCTTGGATGGTTGGAGAAGTGATGTTGTATCTCCTTGGTAGCCCTGGAAGCTGTCTGGGGGTGGGAGGGCACTGCCACTGCAACCATTTTACTTTTCTTCCTTGTTTTGCTGTTGCAGCAGTTCAGAGCAAGAGGGAGAGGATGGGGCAGAGGCAACTTTTCAGGCAACAATAACAGCAACAGCGGTGGCAACAATGACTTCCAGAAGCGAAACAGAGATGAGGAGTGGGATCCGGAGTACACACCTAAGAGCAAGAAGTACTACCTGGTATGTGTCTGAAGCACTGAAACACGTATGTACACTCCAGGTGTATCTGTTCCTAAATGCTTTAGAGGTGAAAGCGCCAGCTGTAGCTGGACGATCTAATGCACCAGGTTAAGGCTTCATGTGACACTTCTTCCCAGGGAGCTTCTGGCTCATGACTAGAGAGAACTTGTTTCTGTTTGTTGTAGAGTGGTTTGCCGCTCTGAAATCCTACAGGCCAGTTAGAAGCACGTGTTTCACAGTACTGTGGGAAACACAGCTCAGGTCTGTGAGTCTGTTGCAGATGGCCTGTGTTTCTTGGTTCTTCTGTCCCCATAAAGTGTCCAGCTTCCTGCATTGGGTCAGCACCGCTCCTTTGCCTTTGGGGTGGTAGCAGCCTGCCATACTAACGGGCATTAATCGAGGAGAATCCTGGCTGACACTGTTCTTTGAAAAAAGGGGTGGTTTTAAACAGACGCTCACTGATTTTTTTTCTCTTCCTGGAGTACTTGAGATCCCTAATCTTCTCATTAAATAATACAGTATTCCAGTTTTTTGCCTCAAACGAGCAAGCCTTGATTATTCTTTTTTTTTTACTGTGTTTTCCCCTGATCTCACTTGAAGGCAGAATTGTAATTTTGGGGGGGGTTATCCAGTTTCTACGCTGCACTTTACTTCCAGAACTGGATCAGTTTTGAGCCCAGTGACGTGGTCTGTGTCAGCTTGGCCCAGCTGCGTCTGCTGTAGCTCACACAAAGCAGTCCTGGAAGCGGCACGCGTTACTAGACTCGCCGAGTACCCGGCAGTAAAGGCTTGAAGCTGCCAGAGCGGTTTGACTGGCGAGAAACCAGAGGGGAAATGTGTAGGATACCTAAATCTTGGGGTTGCCCGACCGGCAACGGCGCTCCAGGCCCTCGACACCCGTTCCCTGCCTACCCCGAAATGTTCTGTAGAGAGTTCCCTGTGGGCAAGGACAGGCCGCCGTGCCCGAGGAGGGTCGTGGCTGTGCCTTCCTGCCTTCCTCTCCGGCTGTTCCTCCCCCAGCCAGGGCGGCCGTTCTCTCGGGGGAGCGGTGGTCACCGCGGCATAAGCCGGGCAGGCCGCTGGGGGCTGCCCGCTTGCGGGCCGCGAGGCAGAGTTGATGTTGTTGGCTTCCCCCCCCCCCCCCCCGTGCAGCACGACGACCGCGAGGGCGAAGGAGCGGACAAGTGGGTGAACCGAGGCCGCGGGCGGGGCGCCTTCCCCCGGGGCAGAGGGCGCTTCATGTTCCGAAAGTCGAGCACCAGCCCCAAGTGGGCTCACGACAAATTCAGCGGAGAAGAAGGAGAAATCGAGGACGACGAAAGCGGAACGGAAAACAGGGAGGAGAAGGACACCCTACAGACAGCGGCCGAATAGCCGCGGCGTCCGCGCTGGCGAGAGCCCCGGCGGGGGGGGCAGCACCGCCGGGTGCTGGAGGGTGTCAGGGCCATCCTCGAGTGCTGAGCAGAGCCCTGCAGAGGAGCTCTGAAACAATCCCGGAGTTAACTGCATTTCCAGAGTCCAGCCTCCCTAAGCGTGGACTAGAACTGATCAATCATTTATGCTTGGATCCACTCGTGGAGTATACCTTCCCAAAGACTCCCCTTCTGGACTGCGTAAGGTCAAGTACCGGGTGAGATCCCAGATTTTTCTCTCATCTGCGACCTTATCGACTGGTCAGTTAATCTTTTGGTAACAGGCTTTGAAGACAATGTGGATTTTGGTTTGTGCCCATCTTAACCTGGTAGTCTTGACGTTTTATGTTTCTCTTTTCTAATTTGAAATAGTAAAGGTCAGGATTAACTCGCCAGTTCAAATTTTTCTCCCCTGTTGTGTATTCAGTTTTTTAAATCCATACTCTACTTATTTTAGGCCTTTACGTATGTAGTAACATCAATTAAATGATAATTTTGGAAACTATTTTTGGTTCTTATAAATAAGGAAACGATGAAGCATGTGAATAAACATCTAAATGTTAACTTGTTGGGACCAAACTGCTATGATTTTTTTAAAAAAAACTTTTTTTTTATGTAACAGTTGAGTTTAGGGCCTTTTAAAAATTATTGTTTTCCTTTTATGTTGGAAGTTAACAAAATTAGCATGGTTTAAAAAAAAAAAAAAAAAATCCACCCTACTTTCACCACTGTTTGTGTACACTGTTAGGCCTGGTGTGTGCTGGAGCCCCGAACTGCTTGTAGGCATTTTGTGTATCCTCTTTGCAGCTGGTTGTGAACTTGAGTGCTCTTTCCAAGGTAACATAGTTTTCTAAGAAACTTCAGAATTCTACTAGGTTAAAAATATAAACGGAGATGAGAATTTTTCAATATTTTTTATTAATCTTTTTATAAAAACAAAAGGCGAATCCCTCCTGTGCTGGTTAAGGATGGCCGTTACGATGTATTTCTTTTTACTTTCTACTTAAAAAATATTCTGAAGAAGTTTGCAAACAGTTCCCTGGCTGAGTCAGTGAGCCTTCGCAGCAGGAGAGGCATGCCCACGCACCGAGGCCGAGGGTGCACGTGCTGTAAAGACACCGCTCTCCCTCTCCTCCCCCCCGCCTCCCCCTCCCCAGGATTGCTGTGCTGTTTCCCCACACACACCAACTAGAGTTTGGTTTGTTTTGACTTGAACAGTTCCTGTTTAGCGAAGCCCTGAAGTTTGTTTATGCAAATAAAACACAATAAAAGAAGTAGTAGGTGTAACTCTGCTTTGTTTTGTGTTGTGAGGCGGGGGCTGAGGAGCCGTGAGTGGGCCAGGGGTGTTAAACCCGGCGGTGCCGTGGGGCGGCCGTGGCCGTGGCGAGCAGCTCCGTGGGGCCGGGCACGAGAGGTTCCGCTTTTCTGTGGCTTCTGCAGGTGGGGGGGACGGGGCTGTGGCAGCCGGGAGGGCGGCTTAGAAAAACCAGCCGGCTGCTGATTTTTAGGCAGGTAATGGATCTTTTAACCCCTTGGGGTTAGCAGGGACTGGGTGAGGGGGGGGGGACACAGCCCCCAGCCCTGAAGCTGGTGAGGATTGTGCCACCCGTGCCCGGGAAGGACCAGCCCCACTCCCGGCTGCGGGTGGTGGCTCCAGGCACCCGGCTTTTACACCAGCGCTGGGCAGGAGTAAACCGGTGCTGCGTTCGCGGGTGCCCGGCGGTAAACGCTTTTCCCTCGCTGTGGGGTTTCAGTGGGGGGGTGCTGGGGGGCAGCCCCCGTGCCCCTTCTGGGGGCTGCGCCGTGGGGCAGCGCTCCTGGCTGCTGCTGGTGAACGGGGTTGGCCAACAGCCGCGGGGCCGGCGATGTGGGTTAACGGTTCGTGTTTCCCCTCCCGCTTGAATTGGAGCCCGTGGGCCAACGGGCAGAGGGAGGGCGCCCAGCGTGCCCAGCCCGGCTGCCCCAAGGGTCAGACCCAGGGTCGAGCACGTTCCCCGCTCCCCCCAAAAAACCCCGACCCCCTCCTCGCCCTTCCCTGCCCCGTCCTGGCCCTCGGGCCCCCTCCCCGCTCCGGGGCTCGGATGCGTTTTGCTCTAAAGGAACCTTCGTGCTGTCAGCCTGGACCTGGGGCTGCTCAGAGCCCCCCCGGCCGCTGCGGAGGGACCCAGCGCCGCGGCCCCGGGCGCTCGCGGTTTGTGGGTTTCGGCCCCTCTGTGGTTTGGGTTTCACTTCCCCACTCCGCGCCGAAGGTGACAGACGCGTGGCGAGACCCGGGGCGGTTTTGAGCCGCCGGGCAGGGCCGGGTGCGACTCCGGCCTGAGCTCTTCCTGCGGCCGGTGGCACGGGCGGCTCAGGTAGGGACGCTCCGTGGGCTGCCTCCGGGTGCTGTCGGGGGGGCCGGGGGGGCCGCTGGCCCCACGGGAGCTCGGGGAGGGGGGGAGCTGCCTCCCGGGCGGAGCGAAGCAGAAGTGGCAGAGCCGCGGATCCTCTCCCCCCCCATCTGCTGAACCCACCCTGGGGCAGCGACACCCCCAGCCCGTGCATCGGCCGGGGTCACACACCGGGGGAGACCAAGCCCCCGCAAGGCGAGTGGGTGCCCCCTTTTTTTTTGCCCCGTGACGCTGCAGCCTCAGGTCTCGGAGGCGGGTGCCAGCCGCCAGCAGCCCCAGTGGCACCAGCAGCCCTGACCACTGGGGTCCCACATTTGCCCCCAGCACAAACGCCACGGAGCCGGCTCTGCCCCTGGTTTGCCCCCCGGCTCCCGGCCCCTTCTTGCCATGCGGCAATTTCCTGGCTCCCCGCGCTCTGGCTGCCGTGCAGCAGCCCTGGCCCGTGTCACTGTGGGTCCCCAACTTATCACCTGCGCCGGGGGGTGCCAGGGCTGGGCGCAGGCTCTGGGGGAGCTGCCCCGGTGGTGTGGGGGTCTCCACGCTGCTGGTGCCGCGAGTGGGGCCGTGGCACGTGCCCCGGCGGTGGGGCCGGGCTGAGCTGTGGGGCTGTCGGCTGCGGGTGCAGCTCCCGGGGGGCACCCAGAGCCGTGGTGGGGCACAGCCATGTCTGGGGGCTCCGCTCCCCGCTGGCGTTCGGGGCTCAGCCGCGGCAGGGGACCCCCTCCCCGCTCCCACAGGCGCCTGCCCCGACGACGAGGCCGAGACGCCGCACTGAAGCAGATGCCCAAGCCCTTCCCAGTGCCGGAGGAGAAGGTGGGTGGGGGGGTCCCATGCTGGGGCAGCCTGGGGGGATGTGGGGCCCTGCAAGCCGGAGGGTGCTGGGAGCCGGGACCCTCGTGCCGCAGCAGATCCCCTCTCCCGCAGGCAGAGCCGTGGCCAGCGGCGCAGCGCCCGGCCCCCCTCCTGCCGCCCGAGCTGGGTGAGTCACCCCGTGCCCTGGGGGGTTCCCCTGGGCTCGGGGCGCTGAGGGGACCCCGGGGAGGAGCCGGACCCCGTGAGCCCCATCCTGCCCTTCCCGCGCAGACCAGGAGCCGCAGCTTTGCCGGGCCCTGTTCGACTACACCCCGGAGCTGCCGGACGAGCTGCCGCTGCGGAGGGGAGATGTCGTCCGGGTGCTCAGCAAGGTGAGGGGGGCGCGGGGATGGGGGGTGACCCCGGGGCTGGTCCCCGGCACTGACTCCTGCCCTGCCCGCAGCAGACAGAGGCCGAGGGCTGGTGGGACGGGCAGTGCCAGCACCGGCGAGGGCTCTTCCCCAGCAACTTCGTGGAGCTCCTGCCAGCGCTGGTGCCCACGGTGAGCGGGGGCTGCACCAGAGCTGCCCAGTCTGTGCTGCCCCGGGGCTCGCGCAGCCAGACCCTGAGCTCTGGTGGGCTCCATGGGGCTGAAGTCCCGTGTCCGTGGGGCGGTGGCCATGCCAGTGGTCCCTGCCTGCTCCGGTGCCCCGTCCTCACCCAACCCCGCTCTCCCGCAGGTGAAGCCAGCAATGCCATCCCGGGATGTGGAGTCCGGTGAGTGCGGCCACGGCGGCCATCCGGCCCCGGGCTCCTTGGTGTCCCACCAGGACGGCCGGGCAGCCCCGCGGCCGGGCGCAAGGTGGGTTGGGGCAGCCGGGGAGCCGGCTGTGCCGGGGGGCAGGAGGAGCCCCATGGGGCGCAGGGATGCGGCGTGGACCGGCACCGAGGTGCTCTCTGCTTCGACTTCCTTCCCAGCGCAGAGCCGATTTCCTCCAGCATCACGTGCGCGGTGTGGGGCCGTGGCAGCTGGGGGAGCCTGGCACGGCACCGCTCGGCACGGCCTCGTGGGCAGCCCTGCGCTGGCAGGTAGGATGGAGCAGCCGTGGCCCCGGGGGTCCCGCGCCCGGGGACCATCCCGGCAGCAGCACCTGCGTGAGGCCGCGCTGCCGCCACGCTGTGCCGGTGCCCCGCGAGCCGGGGGAGCTGCCGAAGAGGAGCAGGGGCTGGCGGAACCCCGGGCAGCTCCGGGCATCATCAATCCTGTGCCGCTGGGAGCGATGGAGCCCCGGGGCCCCCCCAGAGCATCTCCCCGTGCCCTTGGGGCCGGGTGCCCTCGTCCCTGTCCTCATCCCTGTGGCCTTCATGGCTGCAGCCGTCTCTTCGGGTGGGTAAAACCCACCGTGCCTGCAAGGCCGCCACGGCGAGGGCCGTGCTGGTGGTGGCAGGGGCCGGGTGGCTTCAGGGCTGCTGGCCTGCCATGAGGACAGGGTGGCCCATGATGGGCCTAGGGTGGCCCATGGGTGCGTGCCGGTGGCCTGGTGCCCTGAACCCTGCTCTGCTGGGGGGCTCGTCCCCGTGGGCCCCCCGGGTTTGGTGTCAGGGGGCTGCTGCTGTGCCACAGGGGGCGGCGGGACGGCATCCTGCCCGTGCCACGGTGCCGGCGGGCTCGGGGAGGTTTGCAGCGGCTTGCTCCGCCGCGTGCAGAGGAAGCGCCGACCGCAGCAGGGCTGGGTGCGGGGCTGGGTGCAAGGATGGGTGCGGGGCTGGCAGGGGGGTGGCTGCCCCCACCCAGCAGACAGCGCCCTGGGTATGTGGGGGCGGTGGGCAGAGCTGCCAGCGGGCTGGTCGGGCCCCGCCGAGCATCGCTGCCGGCCGGGGTAGGTGGTGCTGGTGGGACCCGCGGGCCCAGGAGTGCCATGGGGTGAGGTCTCCCACCAGTCCTGCCTGTGGGGGGCCTCCTCCCCAGCACCCCACTGCCCCCCACCCTGCAAAAGGTTCTCTGGGAGAGGGGGATGGAATGAGGGTCCTTCCCCCAGCGGCTGACGTGCCCCTTTGCTCCCCAGCAGCCTGTAACACAGCGAGGGATGAGGAGGGGGAGCACCCGGGTGGGTCCCTGAGCTGGGGCTGGGGGGAGGAGGGAGGGACGGTGACAGGGACGGGACAGGCCCCCCCGTGCTGTGCCTGGGGCAGGTCCCCAGTGCCAGGGCACGGCCGCAGCCGGGGCTCCCCAGCAGGAAGCGTTTCCTGCCCCGCTCTCACCGTGCCGGTCCCAGCCCCACTCCTGCCGCCTCTCCCCAGAGCTCCCAGCACCGGTGAGGATGGAGCCGGCCAAGCTCCCCCCCAGCAAGAGGATGGCCCCCGCTCCCCCCGTCCCTGCCAAGGCCAAACCAGCCCTGATACCAGCCAGCAAGTAAGACACACGTGGCCACCCCTCGATGGCCCCAGCGCCGGGGCCGTGCCCATGGCCACACTCGGTCCCCGGAGTGGGGCTGGAGTGTGCCCCACGGGGCTGTGCCGCTTCACCACCCTGCCGTCCCCAGGCCCGGCGGCCCCCAGCCCTGCGCCTCAGCCGACACGGAGTGGGGCAGAGCCAGCGACGCAGGTGGGTGCTGGGTGCTGGTGCTGGGTGCCAGCGCTGGGTGCTGCAGCCACGGCAGGGCCGTGCCCGTTGCTGAGTCCCTCTCCTTGGCAGATGCTGATGGCTTCAACGCGGTGCCGGTCACCACGATGAAGCTGAGCCACCCCACTGCCACACGCCCGCGGGTGCCAGGCCAGCGGCCGCCCAGCCTCGCCCTGGGGGGTCCCTGCGAGGGGGAGCAGCCCCCGGCCGGGCTCTGTGCCCCTCTCCCACGGAGCACGGAGGTGCCGGTGGCACCACGGCCCGAGGAGCGGCTGGCCCTGGAGGATCTGAAGGCCGAGGTCCGCTCCCTGCACATCCTCGTGGACCTGATGCGAGTCCAGCACCTGTGAGCGGGGTCGGGGGTGTCGGGGTGCTGGTGGTGGTGGTGGGGGGGGGGGGGGGGGTGTCCCCAGCTGCTCACCGTCGGGGTCCTGCCGGCCCTGGCTGAGCCATCCCCGGCACGTTGCAGGCGGGACCTGGCGGACATGCGGCAGGAGATGTGCCAGGAGCGGGCCAAGCGCCAGGCGCTGCAGGTGAGTCCCTGGCCAGGGGCTGCCCCGATGTTGGGGTCCCCCTAGCCCCCCCCCCCCCCCCCCCCCCCCCCCTTAGTGCTCACAGCCTCTCCCCACAGGCAGAGATCGAGCGGGTGAGGAAGGTGCTGCCCTGCTAGCACGGTGCGGGGCTGCGGTGCCCACCCCTCTGCAGCCCCAGGGATGTGGGGCAGGCGGGTGGCACAGGGTGCTGGGTGCCATGTGGGTGCTGCGCCCTGTGCCCCCCCCTCCCCGACCCCGCTGCCCCCAGCTCAGCTTTCTGCAGCGAGGCCCCCGAGGCTGCGCAACAATCCCTGGGTGTAGAGATAAAGTTGAAAATAAACTATTTTGGGCGCAGAGTGCTGCTGGGCTGGGTGGGTGCTGCCGCGGGCAGAGCCCAGGGGCCGCCACGTCCCTGCGGGGCACGGGGGGGGGTGTCCCAGTGTGGCACTGGGGGTCCCACCAGGGCTGGCTCACGGTTGGAGCTCAGGGCTGGATCCTGCAGTGCTCAGCCCCAGGTGCTGGGAGTGGACGTGCCGGCAGTCACGGCCAGGGCTGCGGCCTCTGCCAGCCAGTCCCGGGGGGGGCCAAGTGCCCCCCGCCACCCCCTGCACCTTGTCCCGGGCTGGGATGCAGAGCCAGGGCCAGAAGCAGAGCTGCCTCTGCCTCCTCCTCCTCCTCCTCCTCCTCGTCCTCCAGCCCCCGCACCGTTTCCCAGCCCAGCCCCAGCCCCAGCCCATCCTGGCCTCCAGCCACCGCTGTGGGGCCGGGAGAACATCTGGAAAACATCTGGGTCCTGCTGGCGCTGGCAGCACGGGGGACTGGCCTGGGAAGGAGCTATTTTTGTAAAGCTGCCGGGGAGGGGGCTGGGGAGGGGGCAGCGGGGCCCTCGCACCCTGCGGAGCTGGGCCGGGAGCGGAGGCAGGATGTGGCCCCATGTCCCAGGGGAGCACCCACCGCCCCGAGAGCCCAGCGGGGAAACATCCGCCCCGGCGCTGGGTCAGGGCCCGGCTGTGCCGGAAAGGACCCGGCTAATTTTAGTGGGGTCAGGGGGAGGGAATTGGCCAGGGGAGGCGACCGGACCTCCCCCCCCACCCCCTCCAAGCACCACTTGTGCCGGTGCAGCAGCCGCAGCCGCCCCGCGCCCCCCACGCTGGGCTCCAGGCAGTCTGTAACAGCACCATGTTTCTGGGGCAGGACCCCACATCTTACACGGACGAACAGCCCGACCGCGGCCCCCACGCTGGGCTCCCCCCGGCCCTGGGCCCCCCCCGGTGCTGGGCTCCCCCCGGCGCTGGGTTCCCCCCAGCCCTGGGCTCCCCCCGGCCCTGGGCTCCCCCCAGCGCTGGTGCTGAGCTGACGGAGCCAGCACCTGCGGCCGGCAAGGTCAGCCCTGGCCTTGGCGTTGTCCTCGTCCCTGCAGGGTCCCGGGGGTGCTCGGCGGGTGCCAACCATCGTACCAATGGCTCAAAGTGCGTCGTGTCCCTTGGTGGGGGGGGGGGATGAGTCTGGCCGTGGGGGTGCCGGTGGCACCCGGGTCCGGCTGGCAGCGGCGCGGGGCTGTTCCAGGGCAGCTCCCCCAACCCGGGGGCAGTGAGACCCCCGAGCCCCAGCACTGTCCTCCCCAGTCCTGACCCCAAACCGGGTCCCGGGCAGCTCCCGCCGTGGGTTGAGCTACCCGGGGGGGGGCTGGAGCCAGGCAGGGTGCCGGGGCTCAGTAGTAGTGGACACGGCCCAGGGTGCCGGTGCCGGTGCCCAGGGTGCCGGTGCCGGTGCCCAGGATGTCGGGCTGCCCGTTGCGCCAGATCTCGCGGATGATGCGCTCGCGCTCCTCCAGCCGCTGCGCCCGCTCCAGCTCCTCCGCCGAGGCGAAGACGTTGACGGCCAGAGCCCCGTCCCCGGGGCCGTGGCTGTCCGGCGGGAGCTCGGTCACCGGCAGCAGTGACTCGGACGGTGCGCGGTCGACGGTGTCCTCCTCTTCCTCGTCCTCCTCCTCGTCGTCCTCCTCGTCCTCGCTGAGGTCGCTGGGGCGGGGCGGGGGGCGCGCGGGGGGCTGGCAGGAGAGGCGCAGCACCAGCAGGCACAGGGTCAGCACCAGCCCGAAGCAGACGCCCAGCACGAAGTAGAGCCCGAAGGTCTCGGGGTTGGCTGCGGGGGGAGCAGCGGGGATGAGGGACTGGCCCACGGGGCCACCGGTGGCCCTCAGGTCACCCCCGCGGGCCGTGTCCCCCCCCCAGGCTCACCTCGGATGTGCGCGTACGCGGCCATGCTGTTGCTCAGCAGCTCCATGTCCCGCTTGCGGCTCTCCATCCTGCTCAGTGTCCCCGGGGATGGCGCGTGTTTGGCATCTGGGGGGACACAGGGGCTGAGTGAGGCATTACTGGGGGTCCCTCCCCCCCCACACCCCACCCCAGAGTCCCCCTCTTTCCCTTTCGGGGCCATGCTTGGGTGCAACCATGTCCCATGGGCTCCCCGCTGAGCACGGGCCGGGGCTGGGCTGCTCCATCCAGGGCTGAGCCCCCCTCCCCAGGTGCTGAACCGGGGCCATCCCACTCCCACCGCCCCCCTCTGTCCTTCCTGCGGGACCGGGGGGGACACGGCTCCTCCAGGGCACGGCGGCAAGTGGCCCCGGGGCCAGGCTTTCCCTGGTCCTGGGCACAGCGCACGGGGCTGAGCGCGGTGCCAAGCGGGACCAGCACAGCCCTGCGTGGCTGCCCACGGGGCACGCGGGAGCTGGTGCTGCCTGCGCGCACACACACACACACGCACACACGCGTGTGCTCCCCCCGCAGCCCCTCAGGACCGTGTCCCCGCTCCCCGTGCTGCTCCCGGCCCCGCTCCAGCCTTGGCCGCGGGGCTCTGCGGCGCGGGGGCAAAGGCCGGCAGCAGGGACCAGGGCTGAGCCCGCGGCCCCCCCCCAGCTCCTGCGGCCCCCGGGCAGGACGGGCGAGGGGCAGGCACCGGCCCCGCTGCAAGAGGAAAAACTGCCCCGCGCTCCCACAGTGGGGCCGGCCGCAGGAACCTGCCCTGGGACGGGACGTGGGTGCCCTGTGCCAGCTCCTCCACGACACCCCCCCACCGGGGATGGGGTGTCTGAGCCCCACGCTGGGGTGCAGGGGTGAGCACCCACCTCCTCCTGCCCCCGGGACCCGCCTGGCCCCAAGCAGCCCGTCCCCACGGCCCCTCGCTGTCCCCACGATGGCAGTGTGGGGCCAGGTCCCCCCTCAGCCGTGGGGTGCCGTGGCCCCCAAGGTGTGGGGCTGGGCAGGGTGGGAGGCGAAGCAGCGCCGGGCCCTGGCAGGGGACGAGCTCTTTTCCCAGAAACAACTCCAGGGAGGGAGGAACGAGGAAAGAAATGCAGAAAATGTGACACATCAGCAGAACCATCCCCAGACAGCCCAGTGCTGCTGCACGTCCTGGGGCTGGGCAGCCCCTCACTCTGGGACACCCCAAAACACGGCCAAGGGTCCTGGTGCCCCCCCCGCAGAGCAGCCACCCCACCAGCCCCTGCAAGGGGAGGCAGAGCCCCGCCATGGGGCTCCAGGGACCCCCGAGGCCCTGCCCGTGGCAGGGCTGGCCCCAGGGCCACGGGGGTGCTCAGCACCCGCTGACGGGCGGCTGTAGTGGGCACGGGGTGTGCGTGAGCCTGGGGACAGATGGAGGGAGGGGGTGCTGAGTGAGCTCCCCCCCCCGCCGGAGCCAGGGCTGCCCCGGACCCCGGGGGTACCAGAGCGGGACGGCGCCGGGGTACGGTGTGCCTGCGGGCACAGCCCCAGAGCACTCAGCCCCGTGTCCCCCCAGAACTAAGCCCCATGTCCGTCCCCCCCCCGGCTCTGAGCTCTCTCCATCCCCGCGCCCCCCGTCGCGGCAGGGGGGCCCCCAACTCAAGCCGGGGACAGGGCAGATCCACGACACCCCGCCACGGCCGGGGGGGGGACGCAGGGCGCTGGGGTCCTCCGGGGTGCCCCGTCCACCCCGCAGCCCCGTGCCGGTGCCCGGGGGCCGGTACTCACCGGGACGGCGGGAGCCCGGGGCGCTTTGGCTGGCGAGAGGGGAGAGCGAGGAGGGTCTGCTCGGCGTTAACGCCGCAGCAACAGGAAATAGTCCGGCTCGGCGGGCGGTCAGCGCTCCCCGCCGGAGCCAATGGCGGCCCCGTCCCGGCGCCGAGCGGGGCGCGGGGCCGGGGCTCGTCCCGCTCCCCCGGGACGCCGCGCTCAGCCCGGCCGCGGAGCCGCCCCGGTGGGGCGGGCAGCTCCAGCCGGGCCCCTTCCTGGCCCTGCTCAGCACCCGCAGGATCAGGCCTGGCAGTGCCGGACCCCCCCTCCTCCCGCCCCGGTCGAGCATCCCGGGCTCGGGTCTCGGCCGGGCGAAGCGCCCCGTACGCTGCGCCGCAGCCCGGGGAGCCGTGGGGACAGGCAGGATCCTGCCCCGGGCCTGGGTGCCCGCCGTGGGGCTGTGCAGGGGGGCATCAGCCCCCCCCCCCCAGCCCCATCGCAGCCCCCCCCCCCAGCCCAGGCTGCTCCGGTGCCGGCAGAGCCGAGGGCAGGGACTGGACGCCGGGACACACCGCTCCGTGCCCCAACCCTTATCCCCAGGGGCAGGACAGGGCTGCGAGGCCCCCCCGGGACACTCCCCACATCTTCCTGCAGGCCCAGGGCTGCTGCTCCCCCAAACGCCCCCCCCCCCCCCAAACCCACCCGTGTCCCCACACCCCCCCCGCCCCTGTCCCCGCGGGGTCGCTGCGCGCCGGGCTCTCGGTATGAAGTTTTATTGCCGACATGCAGGAGTAGGTTTGACGTAGTACAAAAATAATGTCTTTATACAAATTTTTTTTCCTCTTTTTTTTTTTTTTTTTCTTTCTCTCCTTTTTTCTTACAACAGGCTCCTTCTCACAGGGCGGCCTCTCCGCCCGCACCCCCCAGCCGCTCCTGCCCTCCCCACACCCCCTCCCTCCTCTTCCAGTTTGCTTTAATACAATTGTGATTTACTGGCGATGACCGGTGCGCAGGAATACTGGGTATGATACAGCCTTGCAGAGTCCCCAGAATATTGCTTTAACTTTGGGAAAAAAAAAAAAAACAAAAAAAAACCACCACAAAACATAAAGAAGTGGGAACAAGACAGGAGAAAACCAGCTGGAGAGAGCAGGGCCCCAGCTGGGGGTGCTCAGGGGTTGGGGGTCCCCGCTCTGCTGCTGGTGGCACAGGGGGGTGATGGGCACGCACCGGGGTGTGCCAGGACAGACCTACCCTCTTTAAAATAAATAAGGCTAAAACTTCAGGCTACTGGCTCAGCTGGCTGGGGTTGGTGCAACTGTTCTAGTCTGTATTAGTGTTCACAATTCCCTGCCTGCCCGCTGCCAAGCGGCTTTGGCGAGTTCGCAGGCAGGACATAATGCCCGACGCTGCCAAGGAGTTTCAGGTCAATCCCTGTGTCCCCACCAAGACACCCGGAGGTTGGCCCAGGCCAGACGCAGTCCGCTGCCCCAGCCCGGGGCAAGAGAAGGCAACACCACGCTACAGAGAGATCTGCTGCTCCCTCCCTGCCCGCACTCACCGGGGTGCTAGAGCTGGCCCCGAAAAGCAGGGCCAGCCCCCCCAGCCGAGGCCACGGCAGCATTTCCCACCCCTGCTCCCCCTTTTCCTTGTGCCCAGGCTGAGGGTGGCCGATGCTGGAGCCGCGTGGGGCTGGGAGCAGCCGGCGAGCCGCTGCCCGGAGCGGGAGCCCTGGGACCTCTGTGTGAGAACAGTTCATCTGGCAAGACAGGCATCCAGTTCACAAAATGAGGCTCAGAAACAATCGTTCCTGTTCTCAGCACAGGCAAACGCTCTTCCAGTGGCACGAGGTGACAAACCGGGACATCCTTCTCCCGCCTCAGCACCACGCAGGGACAGCAGAGGCAGCCCCAGGTTTGCATGGCGAGGCTGGGATGGCAAGATAAGCTAGGGAACAAATACAGTAGAGACTTCAGCCAGCCCCTTCCTAATTCTAGGCAGATTATTTTGGGAAGCTTTTTCACATTGTAACTCATATATTATATCTGTACCACAACTGAAGTGTGAAAATGCTAAATCAGAATTAATGCAATTTTAACTGCACCTTAGAGAAGCTACTGAAAAATAAGATTAAATCATATATCCTTATGAAACTAAAAGAATCGGTGAAAGGTGGGAAAGATGTCAGAGGCCACAGCGGGCCAAGTCCTGCAGAACCTTTGAACCACAGACAGGATCCGATCTCTGCAGCGATCGCCTGCAAGGACAACTGTGAGGCGAGGTGGTGGCCGGGCCCCCCGGGCAGCCCCCGCTCGCACCGGGGAACCGGCGGCTGCTCCTGCCGCTCGGGGGCCTCGGTGTGCTGCAGCCCACACCCGGCCACCGAGGGTTAGACACCACCGGCAGACCGGGTGGCATGGTAAGGACAGAAAGAGATTTGATGCGGACGAAGGGAAGTGGGAGGTTTCAAGAAATTCTTCCTTTCAAGAAACCCCGATAAATCTAAGCTTATTCAAACCATATGGAGCGAATGCAATCAGCCGACTCTCCGTACTGCACAGCCGCGACTTGTGCCAGCAAACCAGCTTCACCCTTGGTAGTCTTCTCCTTCCCCACAGGCTTCGCTCGATCCAGAGAACAGCATGGTTAAAAAGACAAGAGAGGTAGATTACAGTCATGATTAAAAGCAGATTAGTCATCTAGGCTTCGATTTAAAAAACAGATTCCAGAAGATGCCAAGAGGTTGCTGCTTCCAAAACTAGCTTTTTCAAAAGTCTTCTCCCTCCAGAGCAAGTGTGAGTGCGTGTCCCTGAACAGAGCTCAGAAGAATTGCTACATTATTCTCCATCACGGGACACGGGTATTGCTGTTGAGCTGTAGTAGGCGACGTGAAAGGCAGACTGCAGGATGGTGCTTGTGCTCTCGGGTGCGTGGGAAGCTACTTCCGAAGGTACCTCTGGGCCAGGATAGCTGCGTCCAAAGGGTTCATGGGCTGGGCGTCGTGGCCCAGGCGTCGCACTGGGGGGATGTTCCCAAACTGCCGCTTCTGGAGGAAGCTCTTGGCCTCATGCAAGGTGTTCTTCTCCTCAGCCAAGAGCAGCTGCTGCCTCATGTAGTTCTCGAACTCGTACTGCGAGCACTCCTCCGTCACCTTCACCTGCCAGGGAACCACCCGTCAGAGCCACAGCAACACACACCGGTCCCACAACTCCTCTCCAGGGGTCCTGAGCCACCAGGGGATAACTGGAGTCTTAATCCAAGACCTGGCCCTGCTGCCAGACATGCAGGCAGGACTCCCTGTGAGCGAGTCATCAGTGCCACCTGCAACAGAGGTGTGGAAGCCTCCGTGGCTCTGTGCTGACCCGGCTCGTCCCAACCCAGCCAGATATTCAGAGCCTGCAGCTGTCTGACCCCAGCTCTCACGGCCCCCGAGCCCAGCGGAGGGATTTCTCGTGGCAGCACCGCAGGCAAAAGCTCTGCAAGGCTGTCCCCAGGCAGTGAGGTCACCGGCCGTCACTTCCAACATAAAATGCACTGGCAAGAAAACAGGATGTTTGCTCCCATCGCAGAGCTCCCCGGGGAGCCCGAGCCAACGGCACTACCCCTTCCCGGCTCTCCCGGCGCACGTGAGCTCTCGGCTGCGCGCGGGGGAGTGCGCGCGGCTCGGAGAGGAGCGAGCTGCCCCTCCACTGGCTCCGGGGGCAGGGAGCTCTCCTGCAGGCAGTGCAGCCAGCTGGGCATGGCCCCTGCTCCCCGCAGCACGAGCCTTTCCTTCCCCGGCACAGGACGGCGATGGGCTTGGCCGCCTCGCAGAGCGGTGGCCACAGCTGGGTCCTGCCCCCCCTCCCCTCCCCTCCCCAGCTCAGGGGCCACAGGGCGCTGCCACCTCCTCCCGTTACAGACGCGGCACGGGCAAGCGGCCCCGGGGAGAGGAGAGTAGGAAAACCTACCTCCTGCGGGTTTTCAGGGTTAGCCACTTGGTCGTCGATGTCCGGCACCACTTGCAAAGGGCCGCTCAGCGAGGACATGGACTGCCTGGGGAGAGAGCGCAGCCTCAGGGATTCGGAGCCCAGCACCCCAGCCCACCCCCCCCCCCCCCCCCCCCAGCACCCCGACCAGGGCAAGCCTGCCTGGCTGGCCACCGCAGCGTGGCACCGAGCTGCCTGGACGCCACACCAGCTACTACTACTAAAGGACACTATTCAAAATTCAATTTCCCCGACATGAAATCATGTTATAATCCCCAGAGCTGTCTTTTTTTTTTTTTTTTTTTTTTTTTTTTTCATTTTTTAAACAGGATGTGGAATTTTAAGTCTTGCATAGGTAGGAGAGAAAACAGCCACAGCTCCAAGAATCACAGACTTCACTGCTGACTCAACAGGCAGCACAAGAACTTTGCCTGGGCATGCTGTGCAGCACAGACAGAAGGTCATGGGGCTGACAAGAGAGGGCTGCACCAAGCAAACACCACCAGGATCCATTTCTGCTGGAGTGTGCTACTGGAATCTCATCCCCGTTGATTCATGCCAGTCCTGGAGTCAGATTTCCTTTCAAAAGGCATCCCCACCCTGCACGGGTAGTGTTCCCACCTGTAACGGCATCTCCTGCTCTTCCCCTCTAGAAATCTCATGCCTGATTTTACTTAACAGACAATGCAGTGCTAATTACAAGCTTGCAGGAAGTGTCTGCGCTTGGCTGCATCTGTTTGTACATAAAAGATATTCCTGACCATTGCACTTTCTTTAAAATTCCAATCTGGGGAGCACAAGGGGGGGCACAGCAGCAGAGGCCCTCCCGTACCCCACTACGGTTTTGCAATGTTATCGTTTTGCAAACTCCAATCTTGGTCACAGTGACAAATGTTTGTACAGGCCGCTCTGGCTGTACCCATCAGCAGACACCAGTGGTTGAGACACAGGATTTAAAGACTTTTTTGCAGTTCTCAGATCCTCCTCTGGTGTCCTGTTTGGCAGCAGTCTGCTGGCCACAGCTGGAATAACACAGCCCGCGGCCAGAGACGCCACATTCCTGTCTCCCTCCTCTTGCACATACCATGATGCTATGATGGAGCTGAGAGAATCCAGCACTTCAGAAGCCGTCAGACGCTGCTGCGGATCCAAGACCAGCAGTTTTCGGATCAAGCACACAGTGTTTTCCGAGACCCGTCCATCCCTGGGAGAGAGGACGCGTGGTGAGCCCGCGGTGGGCAGAGGCAGCAGCAGGCTGGACGCGCTGGGGACGCGGGTCAGAGCCAGCGGAGCCACCACCGCTCCGACCGAGACACCCCAGAATTAACCAGGAGGTCGAGTCTCTGTCCCTGCAGCACTGGGCCTTTCGCACCTTTGCACCAGACGTCCCAGCTCCACTACTGCTTCCTCGGTGTCTACTGCACACAGCCTTTGTTCCCATTACTGCTGCAACCCTCAGGGGCTTTGAGTGAAGCCCCTCCAGCCCCGCCTGTCCCAGTCAGGCCCAGAGCACCGCCCGCCCAGGCACTAAGGGAAGGGCCTCCCCGGGACAGGCCGTACTCACTCAGGGATGGTGTACTCGGCAGCCTTGATTTTGCGGAAGAGCTCCTGAGGTATGCTGTCGTAGAAGGGGAACTGGCCATAGAGCATGGTGAAGAGCACCACACCCAACGCCCACATGTCACTGGGTTTTCCACGGTACGGCCGCCCTGCGGGGAGCAAGGAGACACAAAAGCAACAGCCTTTACGACACCGCTCACCTCTGCGGCCCACCACCAGCAGCAAGGGCACTGGAGGAACCCCTGCATGCCATGCTTTTTTCCAAGTATTAATCAAGACACTCGAGACTTCCTATCGCAAGACACTAGGAAACTCTTTCAAAGCTGCACCCTTTGCAAACAAGCAAAGTCGTGCATCTCCACACGGGTGCCTTCCCTTTCCCTACAGGGCAGGGCCATCCCTGCTGAAGGGCCTTGATGTGATCCAAGAGCATCAAGTAATCAGAACCAGTTCCTACTGTGCTGGAGCTCCCACTCGGCTCCCCGTGGCGTCACTGCCGGAGTCCCCGAGCCTCGGAGGCTCCACAGATGGATGCTCCCTGCTGCAAGTCCGGGTCAAAGGAGAAGGGAATTTAAGGGCCAGCGAGCACAAGGCAGAGGGAGGCAGGAAAGAGAGCCCAAGAAAGAGAAGTGCTCTTTTGATGAAGAGTGGCCCAAGATTAACGCCAACCTCGCCGCCCCAGCGGCACAGGTCGGCGTGGAAGTGCAGCCCAAGCCTCTGCACAGCCAGCTCAGAGCGAGCCCATCGAGACGGGGCTCTGCCTGCGGGATGGACCCAGCACAGGGAGGTGCTTCCCCCACGCAGAGGCATTGCTGAAAGCTGCTGCAGCCCCAGCACGCCCCGGGAGCCGCGCGATGGAAAACGCTGCTTTAAAGCCCCCTCAATCGCACGATAAATCAGCAAACAGCAGCGTGCATGAGGGTCAAAAAATTCAACTCTGGTGCTGTACCACAGCACAGGACCGAGGGAATGACTTCCTCTGACTCACGCAGTGAGTCACTGCTGCAGCATCTGTTATTTGTACTAATTATTCTTTGCTTTATATGCTCAAAAAAAGGCACCTCTCCCTCCTCCTCCAGCTTTTCCTGCGGTGACATTTCAGTAGCCATAAAACATAAGCCATCTCTTAACAGAAGACAGCTTCTCCTGGAGACCTAAAACAATGATTAAGTCTTCAGGTGTTTTAGCTTCCTCTTGCACAGGAGCATTAACAATACAGAGGGATGCTCAGAGTCTGAAGGTGGTGGTGAAGCCCGGAATGTCCTCAAGTAACTTTTCCCCTCGATGCCTGGGGGGGGGGGGGAACTGCAGACCGAGCTCTTTCGGAACAGCGTTTTCAAGAGCAGAGGATCGGGCTGCACAGACGCGCCGTGGGGAAGGGCTGCTGGCAGAGCTGGAGCGCAGGGCGATTGCACCCGAAGGTCAGCCCAGGCGGAGCTGCAGCAGGATGCAGCTCTAACCAAGGCCGTGCCTGGCTGGCTCTGCGGCAGCCTCAGCCGTCGGAGCAGCCAGCAAAGGGCCTGTTCAGCACCACGCGGCACGTGGCCTACAAACAGGCCGCTCAACCCCCCTGCCCAGAGAGCTGTTAGAAGAAACGTGGGTGCTCGCGGCCGAGCTGTGCTGGCAGGGAGGGTGAGAGGGCAGAGCAGTACCCCGGATGAGCAGGAAGGAGCAGCTCCATGCAGTCTTTACCAGACACCAGCCACTTGAGCTGCAACTGCTCCAAGTTCCTGCAGGGCAGTTGGCTCATATCATCCATTTGGTTACAGGGGCCTCAGGATATCCTGCAGAACAGGAAAGGCCTGCAAAAAACACATGTTCCACCTCCCTGCCTGCCTCTGCTCCCTTCCTGGCTTAGTCCTGCCCAGGAGGGAAGCAGCCTCAAACCTGCCTGGCAGATCACGACGGAAGAGCTCAGCTACATTTATTGCTGCTGCCTCTAAACCTGACAACAGACTTACTGGGGGGAGCCCAATGGGTCTGGAAATTTCAGGACTAGCTCCCTCTGAGGGCATTTCTGAAATACAATAGCTTGGGATACCAGGAGCAAGTAACCCGGATCTTCAGCAGAGGTGTTTCCAGTACCCTAGATGTTAACCTTGCATAAACAAATGTGACAGGCTGCCAAGGATGCTGGCTTTCACACTAGCTCTACGCACACCCGCGAGTGATGCTTCCCAACATATTGCCAGCTTGTCCAGAAAACTGTTGGTGCTGATCATCTACTGTCCACAGTTTTAGGCAGTTTCCCATCATCCAAATACCAGCTCAGCCTTGCGGATGGATAACCCCTAGGCAGGTGGGATGCATCAGGGGCGATCTTGGATGGCAATGTATAGTTCAGCTTCATCCAAAGGGAATTTTACCTGTAAGCATCAGGAATACTCCGCAACACGAGCTAATGCATAATAACTGGAGTCGATACAGATGTTTCATATGCACAGCCCCAGCTGTAAGTGCGCCCTTGATGAGAAGAGAAGAAAACCCCCCGAAAGTCTCCAAAACAAAGCCTCGGTCACTACGCTGACAAACAGGAGCACCACTGCCTGCTTAGCTATTGCCAGCACAAAAGTTAGTATAGTAGCAGACCTTGGAGCTCATGGAAGAGAAATCTCCTGAAGTAACTAAATAGACAGAAACCACATCTGTTTCTGAAAGTCTCATGCACTGGAAACAGTTAAAAGGCAGGAGGACATTAGGGAAAGCTGTTTTTTGCCAGACTTCTGCTTTAAGGCCTGTGCTGGAGACAAGGCATAGGCCAGACTGCTGGCCACAAGATACAGCCCAAACAGACGGCTGCTCTGGACTGGTGTCATCATTCCTTTATTTTTAAGTAACTCCTCCCAGTCAGCCCAGCAGCTGCCCAGAGGGTCAACAGTTCCCTTCTGGAAGCAAGTAGCAGCTGCAGCAACTGCTCCTCTCAGTGTATGGTCTGGAATAAGCTGACATTATGGTGGGATTTGGACCGACTGCCTCTCAGGCCTAGGGATTTTCCTGCAGCTTAAGTGAAGCCTCAGGAACAAGATTCAGACGTGGGACACGGAACGCCTTGTCTGCAGTCAGACGTATTTAGGAACAGGCAGGGAGCTTTTAATTAGCTTTGAAGTTCAGACTAGCCTTAAGAAAAAAGTTCCACTTGCTCCTTCCTTCCATGCTTCCCCAGTTGGAAAAACAGACCAAGTCTCATAATTGGACCCTAATTAAGAGGCTCTCAGAGAAGGCAGGTCACATATGGGAACACAACTAGATGTCTTTCATTTATTGTCAAGAGCCACAATTAAATGAAACCAGGCTAAAGTGTGGGGGCTGTGAAGTCCCAGTGGGGGCTGAAGGGGTTTGCTCACCGCTGAGCACATCTGGGCTGATGTAGGCAGGGCTCCCTCGCTGGTCTTTCAGCAGGTCATCTTCACTCACCAGGTGCTTTCCAAGACAGAAGTTTGTTATGGTTATTCGATGAGTCCTGGGGAGAATCAGAAGGCATCAGTGAACGAGGACCATCCCTGCACTAGCCAAACAGCACAAACAGAGGAACTTAAACTGTGTGTCTGTGGGGCTTTTTGGGAAGCTTGAAGTGCTGGGAAAAAGACAAATGGAGCTGTAGGATCAACTCCATCACAAAGGGGAGGGATTCCACAGCTCTCGGCACAGCTTGCAAGACTCTTAGAGGGGGAATAAGAGAATCTCTTACAGCTGTGGACAATGTCTACACCCGACCTGAGTGGCACGTGTAAGCATGGCTGCGAGCACAGGGTGCCCATGTAACTTGCCCACCTTGCAGCCCCACAGCTGCCTTTGGCCAGCCCTCCAGGGGCACCCTAGCCAGCAGCACAGCACCCTACAGGCAGCAGCCACGCCAGGATCTGCACGTGTGTGCTCGCTGACCATTGCAGGGCACGAGTGATAAAGCAGAAGTTTATTTTAACTGCTGACTCTCCCCTATGTTTCCCAACTACCATCTCTAAAATCACCTTCTCCGCACAACATTTTCTGGAAGCTGAGGGAAAATACCCTACAGAAGGGCTGCCCCACATCCAGCCTCCGTGCAATGTTTGCTTACGTGTCGCCAGCAGATGAGCTACGGGACCTCTGATCAGATTCAGTACAACCACTTTTGTGTTACCCAACAGTCCCACAGGAGGAGTCTGGTGGCAGTTTGACCTGATCTGCAAGACTGTTTTTCACACACAAGTATGCAGAACAGAGAAAGCCTAATCAACATCCAAAAAACCTCCTGAGAAGAGGTGAGAACTGCAGGTAGATGTAATTTCTCTACTAAGGTAGCCCTACTTCCATATGGTATTGCCAGCTCCAATTAATGAATTTTTCCAGGGAAAGTGAGCTCATTACAAAACTACCATCACATTAAATCTTTCATGTCACTCAGATAATTTGGGTTTTAATGTACAACTTAAAGGATGGAGCAGAAAAACACTGTCTAGAAGATTTCTATATTCTTGAAAAGTGTTACACAACTAGAGCCTGAGAGAATGAATCAAGTCAGTCACAATAACCAAGAAAAATTTCCAGCAAGTCTAACAGACAAGTGAAATAAAACCAAGTGTGGGCTGGCAATGGAGAGTTGATCATTAAGAAAGACAGACTTGTGTTTAAGAAGTGTTAGCTTCAACTGTCAAGAGACTTCCCTGGCTGAATAATAATCTGCAGGATTTGTTAAGGATTAAAAGACTAAGTGTTCTAAAGGACACTAAAGTGTTCAGGGTTGCTTGGTTTTATTTCCTAACTGAAATCTGATCTAATCTGTAATCATCCAACTACTGCACTGGCTAACTGGAAAACTTGCAAGGCTTTAATGTCCATATCTCACAGGGAACAGAGTCTGAGGGACCTTCATTAGCCCAGGGTGTAACATGCCTGGTCAGGACTTCGCAGTGATACGTTGCTACCTCCACTCCCCCGCCAACAGAAGAGACCCGGCTCTCTTGTGAGCACGGCTGGAACAAAACAAACATTTCTGGTCAGCCCAAACGGCTGGTCCTTTCCGTGCTGATCTATTCTTATGCCTCACCCACCCCTTCATATGACTCACTGCTGTAGAGGCTACAGTTTTTCCTCACCAAATCTGATGGTCTTGCTAGTGAAAAGCAAAAACATAGTATGTAATACAATGAATTACTTTGGCAAGTGTGCTCCCGAAGCTTCAAAAACACCTCCCCCTCCCTGCCAGTGGGGGCCCCTGTGTGCAGCTCTATAGTGGGATGCTCCACTGCACCCTTTGCCCAGAAAAGAAGGGGAGCTCTGGGTGGATCCTTTAAAGCAGCAACCTTTGTCTGTCTCTTCCTAGCAAGAAGGAGAATCAAAGCAGCAAGCAGAAGATAAGGCATACATCTTAAAGCAGATCTACAGAAACGACTTAAATCAATTTACAGGTGGCCCTGAAAAGCACTAGCTGCTCTGTGTGTGGGAGGAACCAAGAAGTTCAACCTCAGAAGGTAAAATCTGTTTGCTTTCAAACAGTATTAGGTAGGAGAATAAAAGCAAATTGTGACCACAGCGAACCCACATGCTTTGTGCAGAACCTGGAAGCCTACAGACCTAAAGCCTTCCAGTTTTTTATTCATTCCACAGAAAACCAGACAGTGTGAAAAGACAGCAAATTCCACTCAGTCTTAATGCTAGCGCAAAATATTTAGTCAGTAATGTAACACTGAAGGACACAGCAGAGTATCTGAACTGGAACTAGCCTGCCAACTAAACTACATAACCCAGGACAACCAAGACACTCCAAGGAGCCACCAAGCAGCGCGCACGCTACCGCCAGCGGCCGCTCGCTCGTGCTGCGCTCGTGCTCTGGGGGGGCTGGTCCCTCCCGTGCCCGCACAGCCCCCGAGACGGGCTGGACATGGCTGCCTTATAAACTGAGGCTTGCACCGAACCAGCTACTGGGAACAAGGAAGCTATTTCAAGCACAAATACAGACTAGACAGAAAAGCTTTTGTTTAGATAAGTAAATATTTTACTGCTAGCAAAAACACAGCAGTGCAACAGTCAAAGATTTAACACCGCTGTGATTATAGTAGACTGCAGTGTTGGGAATTCCTTTAGCACGATGGAAAGTGAATTATGTGAACAGAACCACTCACCACATTTTAATTCTTTTTTTTTTTTTAAAAAAAAAACTATCTAGAAAGTATTTCTCTTGCAGGTTTCTAAATTACTATAAAGCTTAGTTTTCAGAAATCTGAATCCAAAAAGAAGTGCTGATGTGAGGTCACAAGCATGGTGGAAGAGTGAACTATCTAGGCTGGGGTCAGTTAATTTTTGGAGACTAACTCATATAATTTTGAACTGGATTTGCATTTCTGCACAGGCTGTTTCCACTTCCCTCACTCTTTTCACACAAGAGCACTCTCAACGAGTGCTGCTGCTGATCCTGTTTCCAATAGAAATCTGCTTCAGGGAAGAAACGTAAGACAACTGTCAGAGCAGCAGCTCTCCAGCAGACTTACCTTTTGTTTAGCACCATGTTTCCTAGTTTCAAGTCTCTGTGCACAATATTTTTCTGTAAAATGTATAAGAGCATAACGTGAGCAAAATCATATTTGTTATGGAAGTATAAATCCGATACTTGGACAAACACACTAAACAACTTCTGAAATCCTGTCACCTTCTCTCTCAGAAATAACCTAGGTCAAGGTTTCAAGTCAGGTTGCATCCCGGGTACTCTGTACACTTCATTTTCGATTCTGGTCACAAGGACAGAACAAGAAAATTTGCTACTTTGAACACAGACAGGCTTGCCTGAAATCAAGAGACCTGAAACTTAAATGTCCAGGCTCATTATGACCAACATGATGAGCATTCCCTCAAAGATACATGCTTCACCGCTCTGCCAAGGAAGGAGGGGTTTCCCTTGCCTCAGGGTAAGAAGTCAAACATCGGCAGAATCCATTTTTCTTACAATGATTTCTAGTTCATTGATCTCAAACTTGGAGGTTGAGGTTCTGATCTCAGAAATCAATTCTTACACTGTGATTTATTTTGCTTCAAAAGGAAATAGCTTGAAGTGCTTCCTGCATTTGATTAGCCTCTGCTCTCCTCCTGGACCACCCTTTCTGAGGTTAGTAACACTACAGTTCACCTGATCTGCATTTAGTCCAGCTGGCCCCTCTCCACAGTCAACAAATGCTACGTTATCAGCGAGAAACCTGAGGGCAGGGGAAGGGAAGGGAAAGCTCTTTCATGGCTTGGGGCGTGAGGTCTTACACAGAACACTGTTACGGGGAAACAGCTGAAACATCCATCCTCTGTAACCTTGTCACTGCCTGCACAAGGAAGTTTTAAAACATCTATTATACTAACGTGGGAAAACTACGCCTTCCACACTGAAAAGGGATAACGAAGATCTTACCTTATGTAATGCTTCTACCACTCGTACCACATCATAAAATATCACTACCGTCTCCCGCTCACTTAGTCTCTTCTCTTTAATGACATAATGCTGCAGATTGATCAGATCTGCTGTTTTGTCACTGAAATCATGAGCACAGAGACAGTCTAACACAAGACAAATGCGCTTCTTCATTTTTCTGACCATTCTGTTGGCTTCTAGATCTTCTATAATTTCACAAGCTCGGTCCTGCAGGGAGGCAAACAAATGATCGATAGTTCAGGGAAGCTATCCGGGTACATGTACTTACAGACAGAACACTGGAGAATAAATAACTATGTTGTGATCTCAAAATAAGCCAGTGCAATCATAGCAATCGTTCTTTGCCCTCAGTCAGGATTTCAAAAGGAAGATACATGATCTCTATTTACAGAAGTTAGAGAAAGTCTATGCTGTTTGGCTATATGTGTATATCAGCACTGATACTGTTTATATAGACACAGATACCTTTAGATAAAACCTAAAAAAAAAAACAACCTCTACATAGTGGTACAGACTGAATACTAGGGATCCAACACATTATTAATGAGAAGAATGCAAATCTTAAGACACAATTAGCAGTTCTTCCATAACATCAGAAGGGACAGAGCTGAGCTAGACATTCGGCTTGTTTAAGATATAGCACAGATGGCCTCAAGTGAAAAGTCTGTTGACAGAATTTAACCCACAAGCAAGGCAATATCAACATCCAAACCAGGAACTCCTTTCAGCCCATAAACAGCTCTAAAGGCATTAACAGCGACACAATTCACTCACACAAGACACTGATCAGCACATTGACTAGTTTAACTTGCTAAAACAGTTTCCTGGCAATTTGTCCCCTCTTATAAGTCATCATAGAACAGGACAGACTGGAAAGCACAAACTCCATGTCAAAGGGTGCTCTGAGGCCACAAATTGATTTGCCAGTGAAGCAGTTATTTTCCTATTTAAAGGGGACAGTACTGAGCACCTGTCCCATCTCTGAATGCTCTCCCATTTCCCAAATCCCAAGCCCCATTACATCTCACTTAACCCTCAAAAGCCTCTGCCACAAACTTGCTGTTTGAAGCAGCAGCGGTTCATCTCAGCGGTGTGCTGGTAATTCTTTACACACAAGAACAGGGTCAGCACAAACTGTACATTTAAAAAAGCAGCTCAAGCCAAAAGCAATTACTGGCATTCCCTCGGCCTGGATGGTGACCAGCTGTACCTGAAAGAGCCCATGATGATGAACCACTCCTTCCTGGTTGTGGAGCAGGGAAAGGAGAGAATACTCTGTGTGCAATAGCATCTTGCCCTGTCGTTCCTCCTGGGTTTCTATTCCTTTATCACCCCTTTCTTCTAAGGTGAGAATCTTCAGGAAAAGAGAAAACACCTTTACAGTTCCCAGAAAAACCCAAATGCCCCCAACTTCTCTCATTTTCGGTATTCACATGTGTTCAACAGCTGATGTAATTGCTCTGATGTCTGCATACCTGCCACAAACCCACCAGAACATCTGTGCAGGATGCAGAGCGTAAGCTTGATTAACACAGAAAAGCCGCTCAGGTGGCTTTTTGCAAATATCCCAGGTGATTTCTCCCACTGGATTCGCTCCCATTTCAGGCACAGTGGAGCAGATCAGAGGGCTCCAGGAGAGCAGCACGGCAGCCACAGAGGCCTCATCTCAGGGCTAATCTCGACACCAGATCTACGCCTGGCAGAACTGCCCTGCTGAGGGGAAGTTCCAGCAGCAGTTTCCGACAGCACACCAGTTCAGCCTACACCACACACTACTGCAAGTGCTCCTGTCACAAGAGCTGAAGTTAGAGAGCCCCTGAGATATGGAAGCCCTACAGTTTGCTTACCTTTAGCTGATAAAAGTCATCTGTCCCATCCTTTCTTGCCAAACACTGAACAATACTTGGCACAGGGGAGTTACCTAAACGTGGACCTAGCAGCACAAAGCAAAAACAGACTTGTTTTCCTTTAAGCAGCAATGACTAATTCAGGGTTACATCAGTATCAAGTGTCATGCAGTTTACATTAGTTTAAACTAAGTTCCTTTTTTTTCAGGAGACTAAGTGCATTTCCACAAATTATGATCTAAAGAAAAAAAGAAGTATTGAACTCTGAAACCTTTCTGGACAACGTTTCATTTGTTCACTGGAGAAACATTTAACAAAAGCTCACACATGGCACAGCTGTTTTCAGAAATTCAAATTTCTGCATGCCTGAACCATACAGCTTTTACATTTACTAGCAACACCCATGGCAACTGCTATTACCACACCTCTGAACCCAACTGCCACCCCTGCAGGGACAGCTCAGGTACACAGGTTAGTCCAAATTTCAACTTAATACAGTCTCCACTCTTCAGTCTAAATCAATCAGCTTCCAACTGATTATCCATTGGCTCCCACACTGTGAAGTCCATCAAGTTTTTGAGAGCTGTTCTAACTAGTTCTGAACAACTATTCTAGCAACTCTCAGAAGCTAGCAGAGTGGTCATGCCTTGGCACATACCACTTACAATGACCACTACTGCATTATTAAGTTGCCTATATGCTGATTTGACAGCATATTCCAGGCAAGCAGAGTTGATCATTTCCCCAGAGCTCTACCCAAAAAACCCCTTGAATGAATTTCTTCTTTAACAAATTTTAAGAATACAGTAAAAAAAAAAAAGGGGGTAAAATCAAGGTCTCATATTTATCTTGAAAGCCATGCCTGTCTTGCTATATTAGTATTAGAAATCTTCCTAGCTTGACCAGCTGCAGAAGCTGCGAGGGCTGCTGCTCTGCTACCTCAAGTGAACTGCACTCTGAGGTAAGATGCTAAACTACACATCTGCTTTGCCTCTGTTTATAGTGCCTTTTATTTTCAGTTCTGCATCAGCAGTTACCTTGAAAAATAAAGAAGAAAACCCTCCCTGCTTACCTAGTATAAAAGGGCCTGCTCTCTTGGCATTATTTCCAGAAATCCCTGTACAAAGAGCTTTTGCCTTAGTGGATGTTTCCCCAGCTCCTCTGTCTGATGCTCGCCGCTTCATCCTTGGCTCTTGAAAGAGAAAGAAGATCACATTTGATGAGCAACTGAGTTAATTTCTTCTGTTACCCCTCATTCTGTACTGGAAGGCTTTCACCTACTGATGCAGTCGTGTGTCTGCCTATAGACCAGCTGCGGGTTGGAGGCTTAATGCATATTTGAAGGTATAAATCAGCCTCATTATTGAAAGCAACATTTCATAGAAGAGTTGTTTGAGAGACATAGTGGGAACAAGTCAAAATAATTAAAGCTTGTTTTACAGCAAAAACAAGTTTGCAAATTAATGTACTCCAAAAAAACTCTGAAAGAAAATACCTAAGTTATCCTTCTGTACGGACGTCTGCTTCTGATTCAGCCTATGGACTTTTGTGGGTTCCTTCATGGAGGAATACCCACTCGGCATCGCAGGCAGCTCACCAAGTAACTCAGAAGGCTCAAGTCTCTTCCTCAAACAGCCACGAATACACAAAACTAACCGAGCATAAAAATTAACAATATCTTTCGCCTTCTCCAGCAAAGACACAGAAGACTAAAACATGATAATTACTGCGAGGTTCGGTTAATTTAACAATGATTTTTCAAAAATGTATTTTTAGCCTTACAGTAAGTCCCTCCCTCTCTTTGTACCTCTTTAGGCTCTAACCTTTTTATTACATCTCCATCTTGTTACATTCAACACAGCTGAAATTTGGAGTCCAACATATAAAACTACCACTTCAGTCTCCACGTGCAGGAATCGATGCTTTGTTTAGAATGAACACATAATTACCTGCCTTTAATGGATATCTCAATGAAGGGAAACTGCGGTGCCAGTACATGTGCTCTCCTGCACTATCACTCCATGCAAAGAACAATTTAATCTATTAAATGTGAATCTCATGCTTAGCATCCAAGTATATATTGAAGGTCCACGCATCACTACAATTCAGCACAAACAACCAAAAGCTTGACTAACTCCGACTTAGGTATTGCAGAAAATCTGATTTCCAACATGCATTTTCTGCTGCTCAGAAATCTAAAGACAATTTGCAGTGGTATTGCAGAACAAATACCTAAAGGGCCAAATAAATTCAAGCCACTGTGACTAAAACCCTTCTTCCCCAAACAAAAGTCTTGTTGCAGTTTATCAGGAAAAGAACCTCTTAGGTCTGCTGCCAGGCAGGCAGCCTGCCTTCGTGTGCTGTGTGCTCACTGCAAGCGTAAGCCAGCTCCATCAAACTGAAGTTTTATTCCCAATACACCTCCTCTTCACCTTTATCTCTTGGAAAAGTGTTTCAAAGACTTTCACAAATATCTAGATATTAGATACTTGTGCTCTAACATTCCAAAGATTTTTTTTTTTTGGGGGGTGGTGGGGAGGAACTAAGCACAGATCCACTTTCTTACTCTGAGCAAGTCAAAACCAAGCCCCAGTAGTCTTCTCTAAGAGGTTACTACAGCAGACTGGGAAAATATTTTGGGTTGTACTTATTTGTTTTAAAAAAGTCCCAGTGTTTCACCACATCAGAGACTGATAAATCACCATACTTTGAATGAAGTTTACCCTCTGGCAGTCCCACCCTTTCTGTGGACACAAGCGTGATCTCATTGCATTAATTCATCTAGCAGTACCTGTCACCAAGATCAGAGATAGCAAGAGAGATAAGGTGTGAAGTCTTGCAGCAGGCTTTGCATCCCTGCACTACCACCTTCCACCAGCACGTTCAGATCTCCGATAGTGAAGTGCCAGCCGGCCCAGCCAGCTGAACAGAGCAAAGTCCTGAGCCCCACACGCTCCTCCTCCTGCTCATTCCGCATCTCTGACCTAGTATTTGATTGTGCCTTAGAAAATTCTCCACTCCTTGCAACATCATCATCCCTGCTGGAAACGTATGAGTAACGTTTCCACTGGAGAAACCCCACTGCACAGAAACTCTGAGATAATGACCGTTGTGCAATCCAAGCTGGATAGGAATCACTGGTGCAAATGGTGTTATCGTAAACAAAATAATCTGAGGACTCACGTAGTTCAGCATCAACTGTATCTTTACTCTTCTTCCAAACTAGGTTTTCCAACGTCTCAGGAGACAGGAGTCATCACCTTGGAGAAGGCAGGATGGTCGAAAGTTCGAGGACTCTGTAATGCGAAACGAGATACACTTGATGCTGTGGTTCTGGATTATTCTTGATTACGATAACGTGGTATGCACCAAAACTTCTGCAGCTTGAAACACCGGTGTTTATTTTGGCTTAGAAAAAGCCTGAAGCTCCTGATAATCACGTGAGAGAGTAAAAGGGCTCCTGAAGTTCAGTCCCCAAGGAGTCACTGACACATGGCCCTGCACAGCAAGACAAATACAAGCATCAACAATCTCAAAAGGCATTTTGTGATGCGAGACAGACCTTCCCTTCCGAGCAGAAACAAACACATTCTCCCTTTTAACCTCCACCACCTGGTACTCGCTTGCCTGTTTTTAACAGTATCTTAAACACATCCAAGTTAGCAACAATGCCACAGCAGAATCTTTACCACTGGGAGCAATTTTTAATGTGTAGGAGTTAATGCTTGAAGTTTGGACTTGAACAGAACAATTTCTACAGAAGGCAAAGAAGAGTACACTGAATTTTATTCTTATCAAATCCGCACTGCAAGTTCATTCCTCCTTACATTTATATCTAGCCTCTAAAAAAAAATAAAACTAATTCAACTTAAATTCAATGCTGCTGAATAGTTCACCGGTCCCCTTAAGAAGGAGAAATTTAAATCAGACACTGTAGAATTGAATCTATACCACCTCTACCAAATGCTTAGTTTAACCTTCGGATGCTGCATGTGTTACACACTTGTCATCCAAGCTGTTTACTTTACCAGCATCCAGTCAGATCAACTGAAAACCACACAAGGAACATTTGGGACATGGGAACCAAGCTCCCATCACTGCCCAAAACACAACACGGTACTATCACCTGGTCCTGGGGGAGCTGCAAGGACAGCGGAGGGTCCTTCTGAATCGAAGCACCAAAACTACTGATACTCTGGTGAGCGGCGTTCGGGGCCACCCGAACCTGCCCGCGCACCGGCCAGCCAGCACTTCCAGGACGGGGCTGCTCGCCGCCGAGAGCGAACAGAGGTGCCCCAGCCCTGCTGCTGCTTAAAGGACACCCACCGACCTAAATATCACAGCGTACTTGCAAGAGCAAGCAAGAAAAACGCGACGCAGATGGGTTCTCGGCTGTTGAAGGCAGTTCCGTGCCACACAGCACTGTCTACCCCGTCCATCGCCCTGCTCCCTACTCGGTTCCTGCTCCTCCTCGGGCTGCGCGGTGGCAGAGCCCACCAAAAAACCTCAGGGACCCTCAGGAGCACCCAGAGGGTTTACAAGTGAGTGCTTCAGGTTCCTCCAAGACTGGAATGAAGGTCAGTCGGATGGAAGGAGGAAGGTTCCTAGAGCAAAAGGAAGACAACCAGGCGCAGCTGCTGTGAAAAAGCAGGAAGATTCTTCCTTTTTCTGCACGTTGTGTAACCCCAACTAGAGCAAGGGGAATTGGTCGAAAGGGCACGGACTTGCCTGTGTAAGCCTCCTGCAGAAGGAGTGGCCATCCACTAGGCATAGGGCTAAGAACAGATGGAAACAAGGTTTAGGGAAAATATTTAAAAATAAATAATAGCAATGCAGGAGGCTCCCTCTCCCTGCTGAGAGTGGGTGTTTTCTACCTGCAAAACTGATTTAATCTTGGCTTGAGCTGGGCTGATACAAAGCTCGGGTTTCAAGGGGCTTCACTGCTAGAAGTACTCACAACACAGAGCTGGTATTGCTCAGACACCAGCAGCTGAACTATATCCTGGAAGAAGAAGCTTTCAGTAAGTCTTAGACAAAAGCCATAATAAACTGGACACCTTAAATGACTCCACAGCTGCAGGTGGAAGCGCGGGGCCACGGCTCCGAGCTGCTGCTTCGTGCCCTGCTGCTGCCGAGCCTCCCCAGGGCAGGCGTGCTCAGCGCGCACCAGAGGGGATTACGGCATCGCACAAGGATTTCCTCCTCGCACACCATGAGCACGGACAAATCAGCAGCAAGAGGAGTCCCGCCGCAAACAAACGAGTTCCCCGGCAGCACAGCCGAGATTTAAAATAGCCCAGAGTTGAGAATTTAGAACATTTTCATGAGAGGTGGCGAGTCTTGTAGGGGGTGAAGAGCATCTCCTCAGCCCCTGCAGCAACGCCTCTGTCTACAGGCACCCGCACAGACAGTTGGGACTTTCCAATTCTTAAGACTGGTGGAAAAAAAAAAAAAAAAAAGTCATTTTAACATCAACAGGATCGGTCTCAAGAGAAAGCATCCAACATTTCTGCAGAGAACCACATCAAACCACTTATCCCTCAAAACACTCCAACCTAGGGACAGGACTGTTAGGTACTGGTGTGGTGGGTTCTCTGCCCGCTCCCCAAGAAACAAACCACCCCCATTCTCTGTCCCACCACCTGTAACAAAAATGGTGTCTCTCACACAGACAATGAAGTTACAAGTCTAATACAAAAATTCATTACTTAATTTTAATGTGATGTATGCAATATATCAAATATCTTACTGGAGAAGTGTCTAAAGCTTCTTACTGTGCTAGCTATGACTTTAATAGTTATTAATCAAATAATTTGAAGACCTAGATGTAACACCTTCTAATTACATAGCTTAAGGAAATTGTCTAATTTCTGAATTACTGCATGATGTTCCAGTGCCCAGCATAACAAATTAAAACGAGAGGAGGGAACTGACCTTTTCATCTCAGATTAAAGAACAGGCAGGTCCTGCAGTCCAGCAGCCGCAGCTAATAGCTGGAGCAGGAAAAAAAAAAAAGTACCTTTGGGGTGTTAACAGGATTACTCAGCAGCACAGAAACTAGTTAAGACACTGGAGCAGCTGATATAACCTCCACAACACTTTCTGTTGTTTTATCTTGCAACAAGGGGACAAAGTTAGTTGTTTTTAACTCTTCTAGTGTGACAACTGGAAACCCCAAAGGTGTCCTACCCCACTCCTACAAGCCAGCTGATCTCTGCAAGTAAGGCGCTGGGTCGAGCTGGCAGCTGGGAGCCACCAGATGACAGAAGCCACCAGTGTCTACTGGAAGGTCGGGGCTGTCGAGGACAAGCTCCTCGAGTGAGGAGCCAGACCACTCAAGGAAACCTGCCTCTGGGAGCTCAGGTCACCCCGCCACCAGCACCCCGGCATCCGAAACCCGCCTGCTGCTCCTGACCTGGAAGTGCTGCAGGTGGGAACAGGACAGGGCTGCGAGGGGAGTGCAGGCAGGGAACTGCAGGCAGGGCCGGGCAGGGAACTGCAGGCAGGAGCGCTGGCTCAGGCGTGCGCACGGTGCAGATGAATCACTGCTCCCTGTGGGCTTCGTCACCGGGCTCGAAACCTCCACAGCAGAGCGGTGGCCCTGCAGCTCGGCTGCCCAGGGAAGCGCAGTATTGCTCCGGACTCGTGGATTATCCATCTCCCACTCCAGATGGGAGAAGACCTGCCATGCAATACAGCAGCAATTCTGCACCGTCTTCTCTTCTGGGAGCCAAATGTTGTAAGCCGGAAGCCTGGTGCAAAGGTTTTTCTCCTGCTCGCTCTGTCTGCTCTCCTCTCAGCCAGCGCAGGCCTCAGCTTTTGCAAAAATGAAGCTAATAGAATTGATTCAAATCAGCAGTATCACGCTACACCTTTTGCCACCTAAGTAACACGCTGGGCAGTATTTATTAGTGATGATTTAATCAAAATTCACATTTAAGCCTGGCTCATGGCAAATTCCAGCTCATGAGAAGCTATGTTGGACATGACCTAAAAACCTACGTGAACGCCAACATCAAATTAGCAAAAGCTCGAGTATGGTCCAGCTTCCCTGCACGGGAACAAGCAGGTCGGTATCGCTGCAAGAAGCAGCAATCCCGGAGCGTTGCCACACACATTCCCCGGGCAAACCAGGCTGGGGACAGCTCAGACCCGAGTCATCGGCGCTCCCAGGGACAGAGGCTGGACTCCCACTGGAAAAGGCTCCCTGAAAACAGGCGGAGTTCGGAGCAGTCAGGCCTGCGGAGGAGTCACCGGCCGGGGGATTACAGGGCACGTTTGCCAGGCAGATCCCAGGCAAAGCAGGCGCGGGAAGGAGGTGCTGCAGCCGGGCCCAGGGGCAGCTGGGGTGGGCTCCCCTCCCTCTGCAAAGCGCTCTGGTAGATTCACTACACAGGAACATTAACTCTACCAAAGGCTTTGGAAGTTTAAGCGCTCTGTAACAGAAGTAATAATAAAAAAAAAAAAAAAGCCTATCAGATGACTCAGCGCTGCCAGTGCAACCCATGTACTGCTGTGCGAGCCCTTCCGGGAAGGGAAGCCTTCTCCAGAAACAGAAGAGCCCTGACTCACAGATTTCTTGGAAGCGTGCAGGGACTCATTCAAGCTTCTTCCCTAAGTGAGAACTTTGCTCAAAATCAGACACAGAGTTTCTCTAACCAAAGGAGAAGGAAGAATCCTGAGGTGCCAGCACAGCACGAGGGGCTGGGGCACCCTCCTGTCATCAGAAGGCACCTGGTAAATACCAACTTGCCAAGCAAGCCGTGCTTCGCAAGCTGGGAGACACGAACACCTCCCACAGCTGAACCAACCCACTAGAAATCCTCCTTCCTCAGCCTGACCTGCCGATTAGTTTAATCCCAGGTATGTGAGCAAGGCAGAGCCAGCACCTGAAAGGCCGCGGTGCTAAAAGAGACCCCAGTAGCCCTCACCTACATCCCACGTCCAGCTGTGGTCGATCTCCAACTTCTCAGGGACAAAAAAGGCTTCCACAGGTCAAATCACACACCAGGGAAAGCAAATTCCTTCCCAGCCCTCCCGGCAGCCAGGGAAACTCTGAAGCACAGGATTCCAGCAACGTAATGACAGTGCAAGCAAGCAACAAGCTGGACTTTCTTTAAACCCCTCTGATGCATCAACACATGCGATAGCCAAGGACTCATCTCTGGGAGTTCCCTCTTTGGTTACATAAACACCAACTTCAGCTTAACCCTTTCACGCTGGAGCACAGGCCACCTCCACCAGGAAAAAAATCCGTGCTCCAGCCCAACATCCTCATGGCAG